GCTAGTCCAGCCGTCTACAAGAAAATTGCTCCCTTTGAAGCTGCCAGGGGGGCCGGGAAGCCTGCCCCCTCCTGCCCGCCCGCCCTCTCCGCCCCACCAGCCCCCTCCCTTTTTTCCTCCCTCCCCGCCCTCTCTCCGCTGTCCCCTCCCCGTCGGCCCGCCTGCCCAGCCTTTAGCCTCCCTCCCGCCGCCTCTGTCTCCCTCTCTCCACAAACTGCCCAGGAGTGAGTAGCTGCTTTCGGTCCACCGGACAGACCAGACAGACAGACGTGCGGACGGCCCACCACCCCAGCCCGCCAACTAGCCAGCCTGAGCCTGGTGCCTCCCCTCTCCAGGTAGGGCTCCGGAGCCAGGCCCACTCCCGCCCTGCGCTGTCCGCACTGTCCCCTTGCTGGCCTCAAGCTGCCCCCTCAGCAACCCAGAGATGCGTCTGGCTGTGCTGCCTCCGCCATCCCAAGCCCTGGTCCTGCTGTCCCCAGTGCCCCGAGGGTGTCCACAGATTTCCCCAGTGCTCTCTGTAGGCTGCTGATCCATGCCCCTTCATCGCCACCCTGCGGTCCCCTTGGTCCCTGTCAGGCTTCTGCCTCGTCTCACCACCTTCCAGGCACCTTTCCCTCACCCCTTCCTCTCCCTCTCCCTTCTGACCTTGCTCTGCTTCATCCAGCTCTTGTCTCTCTGCCTCCCACTTGGGGTCCGCCTTCTTGGCTGCCACCCTAGAGCGTGGCTGGGTGACTGGCACCCCAGCTTTGCCAACGGCCATGTTTCATCATTGCAGGTCCCAGGCGCATGCTCCACTCCCTCAGCCTTGCTCTGCCCAGGCGCCTCCTTGCTCCAGGGCTTGGCACCTGGCCCGGGTTGGGTCGGGTCAGGGAGGACTGCCCAGCACCCACCGAGCTCAGCACCCAGGAGCAGTCCTCCGCTGCACTGCCTGAGGCCAGTCCTTAGCATGGGCTGAGAGACTTGGTTTCCCAGGCCTGCCCCAGGCACCCTGCCCAGATATTCCTTACTCACCCCCAGGTTAATGCCCTGCCTGTACTTCCTCTGTGAGAAGTATGGGTCCTGGGAGCCCTGGCTGCAAGGGCCCTGACTGGGGCTGCCTGGGTGGCTCAGCCCAGTCTGTTTTCCAGGACCCCCTTGGACTGGGACTCAGAATGGATGGGGAAGGGAAGGAGAGAAAATCAGGCAACTGTGCCATATTCCCCAGGGCGGACCTGGCTTGGGGTCCCAGAGGGGCCTGCCAAGGGACCCAGGAGAGCGAGTGCTCTGGAAGGTCCAGGGAGGGGAGCGCCCCCTCACTGCCCCGTGGGCGGGGCTGGGTGCCTGAGCGCCTGCTGAGCAGAGCAGGGGACCGAGGGACCTGCAGGGCACAGGACACATCAGTCTCCAGTGGTCTGTCTTGGTAGGCAGGTCTCTCTTCTGCTGTCCTGGCCGCCAGACTGCTCAGGTCCCATCCTCAGGGGCTCCTGTTTCTGTGCTCTCGCCCCTCCCTGCCCTGCCAGCTCTCTGCCCTATAGCAACTAATTGGAACTGAGACAAGCTGGAGATGCTCAGCACCCCCGCCCCCGTGCCAGAAAGGCTCCCGGGGACCAGCGCCCAGGGGTGCAGGTGAGCACCTCCTGGTGACACCCAGCTGCCTGTGCCAGCCGCACCCCAGGAGAGCTGGTATATGAGCAGGGGTGTCTTGGTGCGGAACATGTCCATGTATGGCCACTGTGGGCCAGCATAGTGAGCCTTTGAGGGCAAGCCCATGTGGGTGTATTGAAAGGAAGATGCGGGGCAGCCTCCAAGCCACCAGGGCTGGGTGGTGGGAGCAGGTTGTGAGCCAGGGAGCGCAGAGGGCTCCCATGGCAAGCTGGCCAGCTGTGGGTGGCAGCCCTGGCCTCCCTGGCCCACCTTCAAGCCCCAAGGACCCAGGTGGCAGTGGGCATTAACCCTACCACCGCATAGATGGGGAGCCTGGGAAAGGAAGGGGAGTGTTTCCAAGGCAAGAATGAGTTTCCTGTCTTTAGCAACATTCCAGAGTCACTCAAACAAAGCTATAGCGTGTCCCTTCCAGTGACAGCGCCAAGTCCCCAGAGGAGGGGTTTGTAATGAGTTCACACTTGACAGTTAGCACTCAGAGCCTTCAGCAAGGGCTTCTGAGTCGTTGCCACCCTGTGTAGAGGTGGGATGGGGACCTCCCGCTCTGTCGTCTCCCGTGCTTCCCGGGCCCACCCCCCACCATCTTCGGCCCACAGAATCCCCAGCACACGCCCCCCCCGCAGGCCTAGCCCCAGCCCTGGGGTCCCTGGCGCCCCACCTGCCAGGGCCCCTCCCCTGCCTTGCTCAACCCCCAACACCCCGATTGTTGGAAAGGTCTTCCCATGCCCACCACGACCTCCTCCCACTCATCTGTGGGTGGGAGAGCTTGGTCCCTGCCCCACGTTGCTCCCCTAGCGTCCAGGCCCACCACCAAGCCCCCGACAGGCATGGGAACCGCACTGGTGGGTGGGGACACACCAGCAGGGGGTCTTGCTCACACCGAGGGGCTGGGGGTGATGGTGGCTTTCCCAGGGCACCCTGCCTTGGGCTGCAGGCTGCTGGATGGGCACCGGCCCCCTCAGAAGGCAGCCCAACCTGGGATCCTGCCGGCCGGGGCCTGGGGCGGTCAGTGCCCCAGCACCTGTCCTCTTCTGCTCAGATGCTGGGCTGGGAGAGCAGGGGCCACAGCTCGGCCACTCAGAGCCCTTTCTGCAAGTCTTAGAGGGACCAGTTCAGGGGGGCGTGCAGAGGGACTGCGCTGTGGGGAGGGCGCGTGGCTCGGTCCTCCTGGCCTGAGGCCAGCCTGGCCTAAGTGGCCTCCAGGACCCATGGCCTTCCAGAAAGAACCAGCTTCCCAGGGTTCCCTGGGGAAGGCCTGGGGCCACCTCTTCTGGAGGGGTGGGAGCTGTGCTTCATTCCTCCTTCCCCAGGTCCCCTTCCAGGCCGGAAGGTCCCCTCCCCGACCTGGAGCCCACAGCCAGAAGTCCCTTCTGGGACTCTAGACTCCTGGAAACCACTCCAGCTGCCTCCTCTGCCGTTTGCCTTCTTCTCCCGCCCCATCATGGCTCTGGGTCAGAACAGCCTCTGGGACTCTGGGGTGGCTGTGGAGGGGCCGCCAGCCTTGGCTCTTCCAAGGACTGCAGAACCCTCCCCCTCCCAGCTTCCCACCTGCGCAGCTCCGATCCCAGCCAGCCCGAGGCAGGTCCCGGCTCCCTGGCAGGCCTGGTGAAGCTGCTGCCCATTCCCATGGGGCTCACTTCTGAGGCTTAGGGGCCTGGGGCTCTAGCCAGCCTTCTCGCATGGAACTCTCCCGGTCCACTGCATCTTAAGCCTGAGCTCCACTTAAACACTGGCCTGAGATGAGCTGGAAGACCAGGGACCCAACAGACTCCGTGGGCCTCTTGAACTTGCCTCTGCTGGGCATCCCAGTCCTGTTTGGTCCCAGAGGTGTTCAAATGGGCCAAGGGGAGCATAGTGGGCAGACGTGGGTGGCCACAAGATTAGAAGGCAGCCCTGTCCATGGAGACAGGGGAAGTCTGGGAAGCCAGTGTCTGAGTCTGGAAGTCTGAGTCCCTGCTTGGCCTTGACTGCCATCCCATGGGTCTTGGAGGCTGCCCTCATGCAAGGATACACACACCCATAGGAGCCCAGCAGCCCTAGGAGCCTGAGGCTAAGCAGCCTGTGGGCCGCACTGGCTGGCTGAAGGAGGTTAATCCCAGCCCAACCTGAGCCCCTGGCAGAAAGCGGGTTGCGGCAGGGAGGGGCTGCAGGAAACCCTCGTCTCCCCTCCTGGCCTTGGTGGGCCTGTACCAGGGAGGGAGGGAGGCAGGGCCCCAGGGTCTGGGGAGCAGGCCGGGAGCATCTTCCCTGGGGCCCTGAAGTGCTCACCTGGGGAGAAGATGGCTTTTCCAGGAGACGCCCCTGCAGACAGAGGCAGAGGTGAGAGGCTGGGTAGGGGCTGCCCTGCTGGCTGTGTTGGGGCTGAGGAGGGCCTTCTGGATCTGTGGGCCTTGGGGAGCTACTGATGGTGGCATCCAGAGAGAAGGGCCATGCTTCCAGGGGAGCTCCCTGCACAGCCCCAAAAGTGTGAGGCCTGCCAGCTTTGGGGCCTGTGGCATTGTCTGCAGTGGGCAAGGACACAGATGGACGGACAGACAGTGTGTGCAGTACCAGCTCTGCTGTTTCCTCACTGTGTGGCCTTGAGCAAGAGTTTGGGGCCAACTCCCTGAGGCTCAGTTTACCCCTTCATCAAGTCTTAAGAGTATCGCTTCCTTCTTATAGTCAACGGGGGACGGCAGGGGGCTAAGTAAAGAAATCACATGAGTCCCCTGCTCTGCCTCTGAGAGATGACAGCATCCTCCCTTTCCCTTGGAGACTCTAGCAGGAGGCCCAGAATCTCTTCAGGGAGTGGGGGGAGGGGGCGGGCAGCAGTAGTCCGCATGCAGAGGACCAGGAGCACACAACAGGAAGGGCTGAGTCCTGTACTCCGCCGACTGTGGGGACAGGCTGGACCTCGACATGGGCACCACAGGTTGCAAAGGGCTGGCACAGAGATGTGGGAAGTGGCTGGGCGCGTCAAGGGAGAACTCCACCCTTGTCCCCACCCTGCCAGAAAACCTCTGGAAAGGATTTGAGCAGCAGATGAGCCGGGGTTTCCCAGCCCCTCCACACGTGGCTGCGAGGCGAGCAGACACCCAAGCGTGGCTGCCTGAAGGGCATGCTGGGGCAATGGCAGGGGCTTGGAATGTGGCTGGGGTGCACAAGGTCCACCCCTCCCCACTCCAGCCCCCAGCCCCTCAGGCAGCCATTCCCACAGATGAACGCACACAGCAGGCTTTGGCAAGGCCATGGAGGTTACACATCCCCTCTCTGGTTGATGCCCAAGTGCAGGCTGGAGCCATCAGTGGGGAGGGACTGGTGGACTGGGGCCTGGGAGAGTGGCGGGGGCAGGCCAGGTGTCAGTCGGGGCACAAGCAACTGGCTGCTGATTGAAACTGGGCCCAAAAGGCTTTGGCGGCCAGAGGGGAGGGAGGAAGGGCACAGTCCCGGGGACCCTGCAGGGCTGCGTGCAAGATGGCACGTGTGTCAGAGTTCAGGTCGGGTTGCTCAGGGGGGGCAGACGCCCAGAGCTGAGGCTGCGGAGACAGCGTCCGGCGTCTGCCACTTGGCAGCTGTGAGCCACACCGTCTGCAGGCGAGCTCCCAGGGCCCGCCAGACCTCAAGCCCTGCTCCCGCCGCCCTTGGCCTGGCCTGAATGCCTGGCACGGACCCTCCATGCTCTCAGAGGCTGCCAACGCATCTTGTTTGGCTGTGACCTCGAGCAATCCAGTGCAGAGGACTGCGCTGGCTTTCAGAGGGGCAGACAAGGAGGGCCCTATTGGGGTGGTGGCGGAGGCTCCAGGAAGCCCAGCCTCCTCCCTCCCTCACACCTGCGGTCGCCCAACCTGGGGCTCATGCCATTGCCGCTCCTGCCCTTTGCTCTAAAGAGGTGGCATCCAGGGAGCTCAGGGCACACTTTGATGGGGCTTGAAACCCTCCGTGAAGTCCCTGAGGACACATCCAGGGAGGCCAATGAAGGGAAACTGAGGCCCAGAGGCCTCAGTTGTGGTGGTGGAGAGTTGAGGACTGGAGGGACTTGCTGTGGGTCTCTCAGGATCTGACTATGGGGTATTCCTGCTTCCTGGGCTGGGGGCCTCACCTGCCTTACCTCTGTGTGGATATATGTGTATGTATGTGTGTATGCATACATATGTATATGTGAATGTGTATGCATGTGTGTATAGATGTGTGCATGTATGTGTTTACATATGTGTATGTGTATATGGGTGTATGTGTGCATGTGTGTGCGTGTGCATGTATGCATGTGTGTACGTGTGTATAAGTGTGTATGTGTGCATATGTGTATGTGTGCATGTGTGTGTACATGTGCATGTATGTGTATAGGTGTGTGCATGAGTGTATGTGTATGTGTGCATCTGTGTATGTGTGTTTATATGTGTATACATATGTGTATGTGAATGTGTGTACATGGGTATGCATGTGTGTGTCTAGGTTTGTGCGTGTATATGTGTGTGTACATGTGTGTATAGGAGTGTGCATGTGTCTGTGCATGTATGTGTGTGGATGTGTGCCTGTATGTGGATGTGTGTGGATGTGTGTACATGTGTGTTTTGTGTAGGTGTGTGCATGTGTGTGTGCACATGTGTGTGTATACGAGTGTGTATGTGTATGTGTGCATCTGTGTGTATGTGTGTGTATGTGTGTGTACGTGTGTGTGCATATTCTGGCAGGAGGGAGGGGCTCGGTGTGAGGTGGTGTGGAGAAGGCAGGGGCCAGGCTTTGGGAGAACAGCTGAGCCCATCCATCTCCAGAACCTCCAAACTGCCACCCCCAGTCTCGGGCATTCAGGCTCTCACAGGCCCAGAGACATGGCTGGAGCCCCTGTGGCTGAGGAGCACAGCTGAGAGCTCAGGGCCTAGAAGCGCCAAAGCTGAGTTCCAAGTCAGGCTGAGTGATTTGGGGGAAGTGAGAGCCTCTCTCTCGGCCTTAGCTTTTGTGTCCATAAAATGGGAATATTCATCGTGCCAGCTCCAGGGATCCTTCCCCCCAGGCTCCCCTGGCTCCCTCTGGCTTTATGGGCCCCTCGCCGCCTCCTGTGGGCTCAGACACAGAGGCTGTCCCTTCCTTGGGAGAGGTCTCAGTTTTGTGCCAGTTCTTTGAGGGGAAATGAGGGATGTGCCGGGAAGCCTGCCCGGCCCCCACTCCTCCAGCCTGCCCACTGCTTGGGCACAGCCATGAGCCATAGAAAACCAGCCAAACCTTGTCCTTCTGCCTCTGTCACGGGGCCCGAGTGTATGGGCCTCCCAGCCCTCAACCTCCCTCCCCGCTCCGAGGGAACCTCTTCCCCTTGCCCCTTTTTCAGTCTCTTGGAGACCCCCCAGACATCCTACTATATCAGGCAGCCTGCCTTCAGAGTCCTTGTTGCCCCACGGCTGGTCCCGGGAACCCACCTGAGACCCCGATGACCAGTCTTGCCATGACTGACTGCCCTGCGCCTGTGCCCCTTCCCCTGGTGGAGGGCCCGATTACCTAACAGGAGTGCCTGCAGGGAAGTCCCAGCTGCTGGGGAGACCCCTGGCCCCAGGGCAGGAGTCCCTGTAGAGTCCTCCTCCAGGCCAATGCGTGGGTCCTGGGGGCTCCAAGCTGGCCATGGTCAGATGGTCCTCTGTCCCCTCAGCCTTCCCCAGCCCCTCCCCACAGCCTCCCCTAGGCCCAGCCAGATCACCCCAACCCCACCTGTCCAGGTGGACTGCCCACCCTGGAGCTTTCCAGGGCTCTGGTGGGGCGTTCCAGCCCTGACTCACTCTCCCTGGGAGGTAGCGGCTTTGGCAGGGGCATCGGTAGGGAGGGGCAGGGCAGTCTCCTCCCTCCCCCACTCCATCTTGCTCTCCTGCTTCCATCCTGCCCTTCCTGTTCTCTCCCACTGCTGCTGCTGCTGCTGCTCCTCCTCCTCCTCCACCTCCTGCCCCCGGGTGTCCAGTGGCACTGGGAGAGGGTCACGCAGTGGCAGCAGGCATCAGAGGCCCTGCCCTGCCCTGTCCCGGAGGAAGGGAAACGCCATCCAGGTAGGTGAGTGTTGAGCCTTCTCCCTACTTGGGGGCCAAGACCCTCCGGGGGGTTCCCCTAGGTCCTGCCAGGCCGGCCTGGGGCTGGCAGGCCCTGGGTTGCAATTGTGGGGTCTCAAGGCTCAAAAGAATGAGGGAGACTGGGTGCTGCCCCAGCAGGGGCCTCCTGGTGACCCCAGGGGTCAGCATAAAGTCCAGCTCCACATGAGGGGGAAGCTGAGCTAAGCCTTGGGCTCTGACTCCTACTTTGCAGTATGGCCTGGGGCCTATGGGCTCAAGAGGGCTCTGGGGCCAGTTGCGGAAAGGCCACACCACTGGCCTGGCAGCTGCTATAGCCACAGCCTCACCACAGGCCCCTCTGTCCACGGGTGTGGGAGGGGGCATGGGCGGCTTCTAGAGGGGATGCCAGTGCAGAGGGGACGCATGCCAGCAGATGCTCCCTGGAGCGCCCGAGGAGCTGCAAGGGGGCGACAGGACAGGCCTCCATCCCAACCCTCTCCTGGGACTGATGGGACTGGAGTGCTTGTGCTCAGACCCGACCTGGCCCCGAAGTGGCCTCAGGCCCCCGGTCCGCTGGCAGCAAGGACCCCAAAGCGGCAGCCCCCAGCAGCCAACCCAGCCCCCAGGTCAACTGGGGAAGCATCGGGCAGGGCGGGGCTGCTCAGAGAGTGCTGGCCTAGGGGGCAGAGCCCCCACCTCCCCACGGCCTCCTTAGACCGCTGCAACCAGCAGCTGGGCTTAGGGGGCTCACCTGGCCCTGCTGGAGCCCCAGACTGCCCCTTCCCAGCTAGTACTGGCCCTAAGTGAGGGTCTCCTGGGCGTGCGACTGCTTCAGGTCTACCAGAGGCCCTTGCTGCCCAGCTGGGCTCCCTGTCTCCAGATGCACCGAGGGCCACCCCAGGCTGGGTGGCGAGCAGGGCAGGCATGTTTATTCCCACTTAACAGATGGGGAAGGTGAGGCTGGGGTGAGACCTGGACCTTTGCCAGGCAGTCAGGGTGGATGGAGTGGTAGGAGAGGCAGGGCTCCAGCCTCTTCTTGTAGGGCACATTCCCAGCTGCCTCTGGACGGGAGACCGTGTCTGATGAGGAGGAAGGAGGCAAGCAGAGGTGGGTGCTGGTGGCAGGCTCGGGCAGGGCTGCTTCCCCTCCACTCCCACCCGCCGCCTCGGCTTGGGGGGCCTCAGGCAAGCCTGACCCTGCCCTGCCACCCTGGCAGCAGCCTGCTCCCCTGGGGGGCCTCTCTGAGCTGCCGAGGCTGTGGGCAGGGAGGAAGGGTAGGAGCACATCTAGGAGCTCCAGGGCTGTTTGAGCCAAGGCAGTGTGTGTGTGGGGCAGGGGGGCTGGGGCGAGTGGTCCAGAGGAGGAAGCCAAGGCCCAGGGGCAGTGTTGGGGGCGTCATGGCCTCCACCTCTGGGGTCTCCACTCAGTGCTGCCTCAGCCAACTTTGCTCATGGCCTCAAAGGACACCCCCTCTTTCTCCACCCTGCCTCCCTGCCTTGGCCTTAGAGGGTCTCTGAGAAACGTGGGCAGGGTGGAAGGGGGGCTCAGGAGGTAGGAAGCAACTCAGAGTTGCCAAACTCAACTAACTTCATCCACGCTGCCCTGAGCCCAGAACTCAAAGGAAGGATTGGCCCGGGTAGGAGGCCATAGTGGCGTCCCAAAAAGTGAATTCTTCAAAGCCCTTGAGGGCCAATGGTTAAGATTCCTCCTCCACCTCCTCCACGCAGCCTCACGGATGCCCCTGCCCTAAAGCAGGCTTCTGGCAGACTCAGAGGCGTGGGGGCCTGCAGACTTGCTAATGAGGAGACATTTCATCGCCTGATTAAGCCAAGTCCTGTCCGGGATGGGGAGGGGGGTAGTGGAAGGGGTGAGGGGAGTGGAGTGGAAGGGGCTCCCTCCTTGCCAGCAGCATCCACTCCCTTCCTGCCTGGAGCCCTCTGCCCACACTCCGCCCTCTCCGCCTCCCGCCCCAGGGTCTGGCCGTCCCTGGTGAGGGATGGGAACGCAGTGCCACTGCACTCACGGAACACTAGCCCCTGGCATGGGGTAGATGGGCGGGTACTGGTGCTGAGGATCCCCCTGCCTCTTCCCCCAGGCCCATCCGCCATGTGGCCCCTGTGGCTCCTCGCGTCTCTGCTGGCCCTGAGCCAGGCCCTGCCCTTTGAGCAGAGGGGCTTCTGGGACTTCACCCTGGACGATGGGCCGTTCATGATGAATGATGAGGAAGCTTCGGGCGCCGACACCTCGGGCGTCCTGGACCCGGACTCTGTCACACCCACCTACAGCGCCATGTGTCCTTTTGGCTGCCACTGCCACCTGCGGGTGGTTCAGTGCTCCGATCTGGGTTTGTCCCTGAGTGATGGGGAGTGGGGCATGCAAGGAGGCACAGGTGCAGCTTGAGAGCCCCTTCTGAGGGAGGCACATGCCAGTCCTGTGGGCTGGTGGCGAGCATGATGTGAGTGTAGGAGGGGTCCAGCCATCTGGCTGTGAGCTGTGCAGTTTGCACCCACTTGTGGTGGCATCCCCGTGTGCCCGTTGGTGTCGCGTGCGTGTGTCCCTGGGCCTCCCTGCGGTGGGGCTAGTCGGCTGGATGGCTCCAAGTTCATGTTGCTGGTGGTCGTGGGGCCCCTAGGTCTGAAGTCTGTGCCCAAAGAGATCTCGCCTGATACCACACTGCTGGACCTGCAGAACAACGACATCTCTGAGCTCCGCAAGGATGATTTCAAGGGTCTCCAGCACCTATATGTAAGGAGCTGGGAGGAACCAGCAGGCCTACAGCAGGGGGCAGGGGTCCGGGTGGGTGCATGTGCATGGACATGTGGGTATGAGAGGAGCTCGGGGACCCGTGGGCTTCAGGGTGAAGCCTGGAGCCAGCCGTGATGGGAGCTCCCGGGCTTGCAGCTCACCCATGTGGGTTTGAGCAACCGCAGCTGCAGGACTGGATCACTCAGCTCGGCTCCCTTCGTGACTGAAAACGTTTCATCACATCCATTCCTCCCAGCAACAGAGGAGAACGGATTTCATTGTAGCCAGTGTGTGTGTGAGGAAACTGAGGCTTGGAGCGGCAAGGCAGTGGTGGCACTGCTGAGGCTCAGGGCTGGGCCTGGGTGCTGCCTCCTGCCCCGCACTCTGCTCACAAGCACGGACTGACCTCCTCGAGGCCCAGTGGACTGGGGAGGCACAGGAAGGCAGGAGGGAGGGGCGGGTGGGGCAGGGAGTCCGCGCCTTCAGCTCCTCCTTCCTCCCTGCTTCAGGCCCTCGTCCTGGTGAACAACAAGATCTCCAAGATCCACGAGAAGGCCTTCAGCCCCCTACGGAAGCTGCAGAAGCTCTACATCTCCAAGAACCACCTGGTGGAGATCCCGCCCAACCTGCCCAGCTCCCTGGTGGAGCTCCGCATCCACGACAACCGCATCCGCAAGGTGCCCAAGGGCGTGTTCAGTGGGCTCCGGAACATGAACTGCATCGGTGAGCTGAAAGCCTCCCAGAACATTCCAGAGCCTTGTCTCGGGGCATGGGGAAGGGAGACCAAGGGACACCTTTAGAGGCTCGGTTCAAGAAAGAGTATGGTGAGAACAGTCAAAAGATAATCCATGAATTTCTTGGCAAATCCTCTATGCAGGCGATCACCATGGCTAAAGAGAAGACTGGGCCACAGGGGCCGGGTGGCTTCTGGGAGCCCTGTCTGCATCTCCGGCACTCCTCCCTTTCCTCTTGCTGCCCCTGGGGAGCTAGCAGTCCTGGGACTAGCAGTCCTGAACAGCTAGGAGTTTACAATTAGCCGGGTAAATTAGCAGAACTGCTTTCAGGAGATGGGAGCAGCCGGCAGTTAGCAGGGCTCACCACACTAGCCCGGAAATGACAGGACCCAGGGCTGTGCAGGGACCACCAGGCTCCTGGACTAATGAGGTCTCTCACCTAGAGATGGGCGGGAACCCACTGGAGAACAGTGGCTTTGAACCTGGAGCCTTCGATGGCCTGAAGCTCAACTACCTGCGCATCTCAGAGGCCAAGTTGACTGGCATCCCCAAAGGTAGGAAGCCCACTCTTCCTGCGCGCCTGCCTACCTCACCCCCAACGGCACAGATGGCCAGGGTGGGGGCTCTGGATGGGCCCGGTCGATTCAGGGAAAGGCTCAACAGTCCCCTCCCGCCACCTGGGGCAGAGCTAGGGCCCCTGCCCTCAGCACCTGCATTCTCCCCTGTGCCCTCTTCTCCTGGCAGACCTCCCTGAGACCCTGAATGAACTCCACTTGGACCACAACAAAATCCAGGCTATCGAACTGGAGGACCTGCTCCGCTACTCCAAGCTGTACAGGTGAGGCCAGCCCGGCACTGCCCGAGGGTGATGCCAGAGTCCCTCAGTGCTGTGTGGCCCCTCGCGCCCAGCCCACCATCCTTCTCTCCAGCCTTTGAGTCCCTGTCATTCTCCCACTCACAGGCTGGGCCTGGGCCACAACCAGATCCGGATGATCGAGAACGGGAGCCTGAGCTTCCTGCCAACCCTCCGGGAGCTCCACTTGGACAACAACAAGCTGGCCAGGGTGCCCTCGGGGCTCCCAGACCTCAAGCTCCTCCAGGTGAGAGCTGGGCGTGTATAGCCAGGTTCCCTAAGGCTGGGCTGGGGGAAGCGTGCATGTCCCCAAGCAGTCCCTCAGCCCCTTGGCCTTCCTTCCCGGCCAACTCTGGGCATCTGCAAGGGAGCGGTCTTGATGCTCCCAGCTGGTGCTGAGGAGGCAGGGAGCAGGGGCGCCATGGTAGATACAGAGCAAGGCAGCCCGGTAGATCTTGGACCTGAGGGTCTCCAGGTGGGTCGGACACCAGAAAGATGTGGCAGAGTCCAGGGAGTCAAGAAACTGTGGGTGTGGGAGTGTACTGATCCGTGCCAAGACAGCGACAGCCCAGGACAGGAAGTAGGCTGAAGAGGGGGAGCACGGTCTTGCCTGGGATTCTGTCGGGAGCTTCCATCACTGGCCTGGCCCCCAACCAAATGGGTGGTGATCTTGGTCTTGCCCAGCCCTGCTCCATCCACACGTGTTTGGAGCACCCCCATCCGCACCAGCTGTGAGCCAGCACCACGCAGGCCATGCCCATGATGGGCTGAGAGCGCCCTCTAGTGGCCATTGTCATGTTCACTAGCACTGGGCTCCCAGCCCAACCCAGCAGGCGCCTTGCCTGCCCTCCTCTGCTCCTCTCCAAGACAGCAAGACAGTGGCTCCAGAGAGTTGGAGGGGCTGCTAGAGGGCGAGCTCCTCTGATGACTGGAAGAAAGAGGGGGGCACCCCAAGGGCTCTTTCTCCTCTCATGCCCCATGGAGTGTGAGGGTGCTACCCCGAGGGTCAGGCCGCCTTTCCTTCACCTCACACCACCAAACACACCTCTACCCCAGCCCCACCCCTACATGTCCTCAACCTGCCCCACCTGAGACCCTCATCCTGGTCCCTGGTCACATCCAGTGCCTTAATCCTGGCTGACACCCACACAAAGAACACGCCCATGCCTTGGTTTGCTCCTCCCAACAACAGGGAGCCTCTGGTGTGGCCCTTGAAGTAGGGTGCAGAGGTAACAGCAAAATGCCTCCTGGGGGCAGTGGGCTTGGCATGGAGGGAGGGAGGCCTGCAGTGACGCAGCCCGTCTACCTTCAGGTGGTCTATCTGCACTCCAACAACATCACCAAAGTGGGTGTCAACGACTTCTGTCCCGTGGGCTTCGGGGTGAAGCGGGCCTACTACAACGGCATCAGCCTCTTCAACAACCCCGTGCCCTACTGGGAGGTGCAGCCGGCCACTTTCCGCTGCGTCACTGACCGCCTGGCCATCCAGTTTGGCAACTACAAAAAGTAGAGGCAGCTGCAGCCACCGCGGGGCCTCGGTGGGGGTCTCTGGGGAACACAGCCAGACATCCTGATGGGGAGGCAGAGCCAGGAAGCTAAGCCAGGACCCAGCTGCGTCCAACCCAGCCCCCCACCTCAGGTCCCCGACCCCAGCTCGCCGCCCCATCACAGCCTCTCCCTGGCTCCCAAGGGTGCAGGTGGGCGCAAGGTCTGGCCCCTATCACATGCTCCCTCCGCCTCAGAGCTGCCCCTGCTCTCCCACCACAGCCACCCAGAGGCACCCCATGAAGCTTTTTTCTCATTCACTCCCAAACTCAAGTGTCCAAGGCTCCAGTCCTAGGAGAGTAGTTCCTGGGTCAGCAGCCAGGAGGTGCTCCATAAGAATGGGGACAGTGAACTCTGCCAGGGCTGCTGCACCTGTCCAGACACGCATGTTCTGTTCCTCCTCCTCATGCATTTCCAGCCTTTCAACTCTCCCCACTGCCGCAGCTCCCCTCAGCCCCCTTGCAAGTTCATGGCCTGTCCTTCCCAGCCCCCCTGCTCCACTGGCCCTTCGACCAGTCCTCCCTTCTGTTCTTTCCCCTTCCTTCTCCTCTCTCTCTCTCTCTCTCTCTCTGTGTGTGTGTGTGTGTGTATGTGTGTCTTGTGCTTCCTCAGACCTTTCTCGCTTCTGAGCTTGGTGGCCTGTCCCCTCCATCTCTCCAAACCTGGCTTTGCCTGTCCCTTTCTCTCCACACCCTCTGGCCTTCTGCCTTGAGCTGGGTCTGCTTTCTGTCTGTCCGGGCTGCACCCAGCCCCTGCCCACGAAACCCCAGGGACAGCGGCCTCCTCAGCCTGCCCTGCTCAGGCCTTGCCCCCAAACCTGTACAGTCCCAGAGGAGGCTGGAAGTTGGAGGCCCAGCATCCTGCCCAGATGACACCATCAAGGAGGGGAGCCTTAGGCCTGTCAGGCCCTGGCCCTTCTGCCCCAAAGAGAGGAGAGGCCCCACATTCCGCCAGAGTCCCAGACACCGGTTTTCATGGAACCCCCTCACCGCCACTGGCGGCTAGGTCTCCCCTTTCCTTCTGGTTCAGCGCAAGGAGGGGCTGCTTCTGAGGTCGGTGGCTGTCTTTCCATTAAAGAAACACTGTGCAACACGGCTCCGTGCGCTGCTCCTGTGGCGGCCTGGCCTCTCCATGCCCGTCCTGGCCCTTGGGCTCCTCGCCCTCAGAAGAGGGGCCCCGTCATCCTCAGATCTGGGCTAGCCCCTTTCCCCTCCCTCCTAGACACTCATGGTCCCAGCTGTCCTGAGACGGGGCTCCAGAATCCAAACAGGCCTGAATGGCACCTGCCCTCTCAGCGTGGAGCGTTTGCCAAGAGCACACCGACTGCAGGCACCGGGCTAGAGCCTGGAAATCTAAGCGGGACCTGGCCTGCCCAGCTCCATGGAGTCTAGGGTTCACAACGAGGCACCACCAACACCCAAGGGGACACAGGAGGGACGGGGCCCCATGGAGCCAGGGCAGGGTGCTGTGTGCACCCACTTGCATTGGCCTGGCCTTGGCTCCCCAGCCAGCCCCCTAGCAAGTCACACTGTGTGCCAGGAGAGCCGAGCTCGGGCTGCAAGGCATTGGCACCGGCTCCAGAGAGGATCCAGGTCAGCTGCATGCTGGGGACACAGGTCGTCCCGGAAAGGACAGCTTGGAGGGGGACAGTCTCCAGAGCAACACTACCACCTGTGACCTTCCTTCGGCCCTGCACGAAGAGCCTCAGAGCAGGTGGCGGAACCTGGGGCTTCCCTGGGCAGCTCCAGGCTCCCAACAGCAATAGAGTGGGCAGGGCCCGCGTGAGTCACAGCCTGGCACTGTGTGTTGGCTCCTCGCACATAACTGTGTCTTTAAGCCTGGACTGGCACTGGGGCACTGGCGTTCCCAGGTTTCTCCTTCCTGGGATAGGAGGTGCCACGCAGTGTGGTGGCCCAGTGATAGAATGTCACCATCAGCATCATAGCACTATTCTGGGCCATGTGCTCCACGGCCTGGCAATGTCTGCTGAGTTGGGCAGGCGTGGTGCAAGGGAACTGGCCAGAGGCCAGGAGTCAAGGCTTCGGGCAAGTCCCCTCACTGGCTGGGAGGAGGGGCAGCCAGCGCCGCGGCCTGGCAGAGATGGAAAGATGGGGCTTCCGCCCATTCATCTGTGAGTGAGTCTTGGGGCACTGGCTCCGTGTTCAGTGGGTCCAACACAGCCCCCGTGAATCTCTGTCCACTCTTTGTGCCTCCCTCCCATCCCTCCTGTGCCTCCTTTCCTCTCTGTCTCCCTCTCATTTCATACATCTTTATCACACCCGTCCTCTGCATGGCCCAGCTCGGGGATGCAGTGTGGGTGGAGGACAAGCTAGCAGGACGAGTGTGATATAGGTGGTCAGTGCAGAGGAAGGCATCCTGCGGGCTGCGTGCTTAGTCCACACAGCAGGGGGTGCCCTGCAGGCAGTACACACTCTGCCCGGACGGGGTGCCAAGTCCCCCAGGCAGGAGCCCAGAGCTGGACAGGGTCACAGCCTGCAAGGGCTTCTGGGTCATGGTGGAAGGTGAGCTCCATCCTCAAAGCAGTTGGTCCTGACCACAGTGTGAAGATGAATCGCGTAGCCTCACTCCACCGCCAAGTGTGGTAAAAACTGTTAAATAATACTAGCCAAGGTGAGACTGATTTGGGCTTAAAAAGAAAATGGCTGGGCGTGGTGGCTCACGGCTGTCATCTCAGCACTTTGGGAGGCCAAGGTAGGAAGACTGCTTGAGGCCAGGAGTCCAAGACCAGCCTGGGCAACATAGTGAGACCCCGTCTCTAAGAAACAAAAAACTAAAAAATTAGCTAGGCATTGGGGCACACGCCGGTGGTCCCAGCTACTCAGGGGACTGAGGTGGGAGGATCACTTGTGCTGGGAAGGTTCTCCCTGCAAGCTGCCAATCCCCCACATTTATTTGCAAGTGGCTTGGAAAGTAGAACTGTGCTCAGGGCCCCAGCCGTGGCACAGGAAGGCCCAGGGTGGACAACAGGTGGGCTGCAGGTTCCAGCCCATCTTTGCTTGAGTAAGATCCCCTGAACTTAGGGACAGATTGGGTGTAATGTGAGAACGGGGTTGGCTGTGATGCTCCCTGGCCTGGAGAGGGGAAGAGGGCCCTGAGGACCCCCGACTGAGGGCCAGAAGCATCCCGGAGCTGTTGGAAGGCAGCAGGCGTGGGCTTACACACGTATGCACGCACACGCACAAACACACGTGCACACGCACACAAATGCATACACAAACACGCACGCACACATGCACACTTGAACACACAAACACAAGCACACAGAAACACAAACATGCCACACAAACACATGTGCATACAAACACGCACAGCCATGAAGGTCACAAAGCCGCTTCCTTGGGGCCGTTTCCCAGCATTTGCTGCAGGTCAGGTGCCTTCTGGGCACAGCAGGGCCCAGCGGGAGCCTAAGCCGAATCCACTGCTAGGGTTTAGACGAGTCTGGGCTTGCCAAAGGGACGGCGAGCCAGACCTTGGCAGGCTGGGCCCACAATGCAGGCAGGACCCCTGAGGGACACGACCCCTCCTTGGAGGGCTGCAGGGGCAGGTGGCAGGCCTGGGAGCCAAGTCAGAGGGGCTGCCCTGAGGAGCTGGCAGTGGCCTGGTCTCCAGGCTCTGCTCCCACAGACTCCAGCTCTAGTCTCAGGAGGCAGGGACCACAGGAAGAGGCCAAGCCCCTGCCTGCCACTCTGGACAGCCAGGGCAGGGCAACATCGCCAGCAGAGAGACTTTGTCTCCCTCAGCTTCTGGGAGGGCACAGCCTCTTTGGTGCCCTGGAGAACCCTGGGCAGCCTGGGTGCTGAAAGGCCCTGATGCCTGCTGCACAGGGGCAGCCAGGGCCCAGGCAAGAGGTCCCAGGGGACTATGCTGGAGCTGCACTGGCAGGAGTCATGCCCAAAGAACCATCTGTCTTTCTTACACACACACTGACACACTCACACGGTCACACTCACACACACAAGGGACACACACACAAACTCACACTCACAGACTCACACACACACACTCACGCACACTCACACACTCTCACACAATCACACTGACACTCACAAACTCACACACACACTCATGCACTCACACCCACACACACTCTCACACACTGTCAATCACACACTCACAAACTCACACTCACAGACTCACACACACACACACTCACTCACGCACACTCACACACTCTCACGCAATCACACTGACACTCACAAACACACACACTCACGCACTCACACCCACACACACTCTCACACACTGTCAATCACACACTCACAAACTCACACTCACACACACTTGCACACACACAGTCACACACACTCACACTCTCACACTCTCACACACACTAACACACACACACACACTGCATTGCCAGTCAGAGCTTTCCAGAACCACCAGGCGTGGATGTACTCAAGCCAAGCAGCCCAAGAAGCCTGTGTTGTGCTGTGGGCAGGGCTCTGCCAAGCTGGAGCTCCTCGGTGGCCCAGCTGGGACTTGGATGAGTGGCCCGAGGCCACTGTCATGAATAACCACAAACCGGGTGGCTCACCACAGAGGACATAGACCCTCTCCCAGTCCTGGAGGCCAGAAGTCCGAAATCCAGGTGTCTCAGGGCCACACTCCCCCGAGAAGCTCTAGGGAAGGCTTCTTCCTGCCTCTCCCAGCTCCGGAAGGCTCCAAGTGTCCTGGGCTTGTGGCCACCTCACTCCACTTTGCCACTGCAATCACATGGCTTCTTGTGGGGGGGTGCATGTGAGTGTGTGTGCATGAGTGTGCATATGTGTGTGCGTGCGTGTGAGCATGTTTGTGTGTATGTGTGTGTGACTGTGTGTATGTGTGGGGTGTCTGCATGTGTGTTTATGTGTGCAATGTGTGTGTATGTGTTTCTGTGTCTGTACGTGTGTCTTGTGTATGCATGTGTATGAGTGTGTGCATATGTGTGTGTCTGTGTGTGACTGTGTGTATATGTGTATTTTGGGGGGGTGTGGGTGCATATGTGTGCATGTGTGTGTGTGTGTTTCTGTTTGTGTATGTGTGTCTCTGTGCATGGGTGTGGGTGGGAGCATGTGTGTGCGTGTGTGAGAGTGTGTGTGTGTAATCTCCCCCTTATAAGGACACTTGTCACTGCATGCAGGGCTTGCCTGGATAACCCAGGATAACCCCACATCTCAAGATTCTTCACTTGATCACATCAGCAAAGACCCTATTTGCGAATAAGGTTGCATTCCGGTTCCAGGGGTTGGGACAAGGACACCTCCGTGGGGGCATTTTTAGCCTGCCCCTGGGCTGCAAGTGGATGTGGACTTGGTCCCTGAGGACTTGGGGAAGGGGCTGGGACCTCAGCCAGGGAGACAGTGGGCATGAGAAGACGGGATGGGGGGCCCGGGCCCAGCCAAAGGGGCCCTCACTTCAGAACTGGCCAAGGCGTTGCTGTCCCAACAGTGGCAGGAGGGACCTGCTCAAGGAGGCGGCATGGCCTAGAGGCCCGGGAGAGAAGGGGCCTGGTGACCAGGTAGGGGCCAAGGAGCCAAGAGAGAAAGCAGTTGTGGGA